GTGTGAGGTGATACCTCATTGTTGTTTTAATTTGCATCTCTGATGATTAGTGATGTTGAGCATTTCTTCATATGTCTCTTGGCCATTTGTATGTCCTGTTTGGAGAGGTGTCTGTTTAGGTCCTCTGCCCATTTTTTAATTTGCTAAGTTGTGTGAGTACTCTATGTATTTTGGAAATTAACCCCTTATCTGATGCATCATTGGCGATTATGGTCTTCTGTATGGTGGGATCCCTTTCCGTGTTGATGGTGGTTTCTTTTGCTGTGCAGACGCTTCAATTGACTGCCTCCTGCACACCCCCTACTGGGGATCGAGCCTGCAACCTGGGCGTTTGCCCTGCCCGGGAGGGGCAAAGGGACCCTCATTCCCTGGGATGATGCTCGGTCCTCCGAGCCACACCAGCTGGGCCAGTCCTGTCAGTCCCGACCCCCGAGGACTGGTTTCTCCCCTCCCTCCAGGGACTGCTGCTTCTCAGGCAGCATCAGGAACCGTGAGCAGGAAGGAGATCAGCCAGAATTTGGCCCCACTCCTGATGCTGCTGACAGGAGCCATGGGAGGAGCAGTGACCGAGGCCTGGAGGGGAGTGCAGGGGGTGCCCCAGGCCCCTAAGTTGGGAAGAAACAAAAAGGCTTTGTTCCCAGGGAACATTCCAGCAACAAATCCCCTCAAGCCCCTAGTTAATTTTGTCTAGGGAAGTCTAAAAGCACGGAAGGACTGAGGGTTTAAAGGGCAGGGCCATGTTTTGTCATTAGAAAAACTCAAGGAGAGGCCCTTGCCCAAAACAGAATCGCCTGCATATCGAGCCAAGAGGCTCGGCCGAAGTGAATTAGCACCGACATGCTGAAGTAATCGTATTTTTCCGTAAATACTGGACTCTTCAGTAACTTTGAAAATGAACAGCTGATCCTTTCAAACTTAAAAGTGAAATTTTTATTCTCTTAAATGGCCTATGTTTGACGCCCAATTAGAAGGGCTGTTGCAGTCTGTGTCAGCTTGGGGTGGCCCCGCAGGGGCTGCCCGGCCCTGCTGCCCTCCTGAAGCATGACCAGCCCACCCACTTCCTGCCCCAGGGGTCTGGGCTGCCAGGGGGCCTGTCATTGTTGAGCCGCCAGGACTGAGACCTGTCGGGCCTTGTGCTGGGATCAGGGTCCAGAGAAGAAACGTCAGCAGCCCCAGGAGGGAAGACAGGTCTGAGCAAGTGTGAGGCAGGCACAGGGGAGCTTGCTAGGGAGGGGTGCAGGGGTAAGTGTGCCCTGCTGTGTGTGACCACGAAGAGGCGGCCTGTGCCCGCTGAGGGCCCCGCTGGAGTTCCCTCGCCAGGGCATAGTCCATGCGTGCGGACAGCCAGCGTGTAGAGGGGAGGCGGGGGTCTCGGGAGACCGCGGACCAAGGACAGAGCACCTCAGACCTGAGCTGCAGGGTGACCTGACTGGCTTTGTAGGTCATTGGGACCAAGGAGTGGAGGGCAGGGTGAAGGAGAAGACGGTGGGACTGAGACCACAGGAAGGAGTGAGCACGGCAAGCATGTCGGGTGAAGCAGGAAGGAAAGGCGCCCGAGGGCCTGGGGGAGGTGCTGGGGGAGAGGGCTGTCAGGGTGGAGGCCGTGCCCAGAGGAAGGGGTGCCTCTCCGAGCCTCTACTGCGTGGGGTGAGCGAGGCAGCCATGGAGTGCGGGGACGGGCGAGGGAAGAGAGCATGGGCTGGGGCTCCTCACGCATTGGGGAGCCGTGAACCCCCACTGGTGCTCTGAGCAGGGGTCACGAGCCAGACTGCAAAGCTGCTGGAGAGCCAGGACGTGCCTCCCTGTCCTGACCCCGTGCCTGACACAGCGTGTCCCCGAAGGCTGTGGGGTGGCTGCAGCTTTCGTCCTCGTGAGACGGGTGCTTTCCCAGAGTCCTCCGAGGAGGCGCCCACCCTCGACCTCACAGTCGCGGGAGTCCCGGACGTGCACGGCTGAGTACAACGCAGAGCGTGGCCCCTTGTGTGGGAGGTTTTCAGAGATGCTGGGCCCAGGTTAGAAAATGAGAAATAGCTTCGAGCTCGGGGCGCAGGATGGTGTCGAGCAGAAGGTGGCATCTGAGCTGGGCCTGTGGGACCGGAGAGGAGGCTGGAGTGCCTGCGGCTGCCTGCGCACTTGGGGAGCCGAGTGAGGGCAGGGCTGTCGGGGTGCTGGAGAGGACGGGGTCCTCCTGGACCCACTCCGTGGCCGGCTCCACGTGCTCCATGCTTTGGTGCGGCTGTGTCAAAGCAACCCTGGCCTGGAGGGCAGCTGTCTGCTGAGTCACAGCTGACGGCTCCCTGGGGGCCTTGTCCAGGTGGCAGTTCTCACCCAGCCTGCGCACCAGGAAGCAGCTTCCTCGTCCCTGTCCTGGTGGCTCGGCCAAGGGCATGGCTCTGAAATCAGGCTGCGTCCCAGGGCAGCTGTGCCACTCTCCTTGCTCTCTGCAAAGCCGCTCGACCTCCCTGCTCCACTTCCAGTGGCGTCCCAGAGGCGCAGGGGCCCGCGGGAGCCCAGAGGAGAGCGCGCACGTGGGACGCCAGGCTGACCGCCTCCTCCGTCCTCACAGTCCCTGCAGTCAGGCAGCTCGCGCACTTGAGCTCAGACACGTGGAATGGAGAGGCTGAGCCCCAGGCAGCCCACCCTGCTGGTGCGACTTCCTTTTCTCCCCAACCGGGGCGTCTGCACAGACCTCAGGTCTCCAGGGTGCCATGTCGTCCCACACCGGAGTCCCTCAGTGGTGCCTCTGGAGGGCGGGCCCGAGGCCTCTGCGGGCACCATGCTGCACACCTGCCTCTGGAGGGCGGGCCCGAGGCCTCTGCAGGCACCATGCTGCACACCTGCCTCTGGAGGGCGGGCCCGAGGCCTCTGCGGGCACCATGCGTGCACACTGCCTCTGGAGGGCGGGCCCGAGGCCTCTGCAGGCACCAGGCTGCACACCTGCCTCTGGAGGGCGGGGCCCGAGGCCTCTGCAGGCACCATGCTGCACACCTGCCTCTGGAGGGCGGGCCCGAGGCCTCTGCGGGCACCATGCTGCACACCTGCCTCTGGAGGGCGGGCCCGAGGCCTCTGCGGGCACCATGCTGCACACCTGCCTCTGGAGGGCGGGCCCGAGGCCTCTGCGGGCACCATGCTGCACACCTGCCTCTGGAGGGCGGGCCCGAGGCCTCTGCAGGCACCATGCTGCACACCTGCCTCTGGAGGGCGGGCCCGAGGCCTCTGCAGGCACCATGCTGCACACCTGCCTCTGGAGGGCGGGCCCGAGGCCTCTGCAGGCACCATGCTGCACACCTGCCTCTGGAGGGCGGGCCCGAGGCCTCTGCGGGCACCATGCTGCACACCTGCCTCTGGAGGGGCGGGCCCGAGGCCTCTGCAGGCACCATGCTGCACACCTGCCTCTGGAGGGCGGGCCCGAGGCCTCTGCGGGCACCATGCTGCACACCTGCCTCTGGAGGGCGGGCCCGAGGCCTCTGCGGGCACCATGCTGCACACCTGCCTTTGGCTGGGTCACTTTTGAGACTCGAGTTCAATGACTTCATTTTCACTGTCTGTTTCTACAGTTTGAACAAGAAAACCAGCGCCTCATTGGTGAGATGAACAGCCTGTTTGATGAAGTGAGGTATGTGTGCAGTTCCTTTGTGAGCTCATGACCCGGTGCGCAGCTTCTCCAGCAAAGGGACTGACTTCACTTCCTGTGGTGCCCAGGCATCCACGTTCACTCCTGGGCAGAATGCAGCCCCTGTGCCCCGCGGGGGTCCTGCTCCCCTCGGCCTGTGGGCCTGCTGCTCAGGGTTCCCGGGCGCTAGCCATTCCATTCCGAGGGTCCACTCGCGACTGCAAGTCACACCCAGCACTTCACCACAGCTCAGCTCCTCGGAGGTGAAACAGGCCTGTGAGGGACTGGACGGCTGACAGGGCAGCCAGTGCCTGCAGACGGCTCTCGGGGGCTGTGTGCGCCCCTCACGGAGTCCTCAACACAGAAGGCAGTGGCCCCCTGCTGAGACTCCAGGGCCTGTTTCCCTGGGAGCCTGCAGCATTTCGAGAGGAAGGCCGGGAACCCTGGTGGTGTGGGCACGTCCCAAAAGAAATGAGTCCTGATGTTGCATCCACACCACCTGGAGACGGTGTACATGTCCGCTAACAGCGGCCCCGCTCCCCCAGCCGTCCCCCCCAGGTGGGCCTCCTCAACTCGGTTCCACCTCGCTGTCCTTGTCAGTCTCTCCTGTCCCTCAGCTGTCTGGGAGGAGGCCCGTGACATAACCACGGACATCTCTGCCTCCACCTGGGCTGGGAGCTCAGCTCGCTGCCCACAGCCTCGCCCTGCTGCCCCTGCCCCTGCCGCGCAGGGAGAGTGGTCCACCCCAGCGCCCTGTCTAGACACTCACAGCCTAGCTCACGGCCTCGCCGCTGCCTTGACTCGGGGAGCCCTGGCCCCAGGTGCGGTGCTTTCAGCTGGGGCAGGTCGAGTGGTCGGGTCCCCTGTCCCTCAGCCTCCTGAGCAGGAGCAGAGTGGGGTTCTCAGCCGATTCTGATGTTTTCTGACACCACACCGCTCCATGTGTCTGTGGTTACGAGTCTAGGCACAGGCCTGAGAGGCTCTGCTTTCTGTAACTGGGGCGCAGCCATGTGCCCCTGGCCCCACGCACTGACCCAGAGGCAGGGCACTGGGTCAGCTACACGGGAGGGCTGGTTTTCTGACATGGGTCCAGTGCATCCCACTAGGCTGGGACATTCAAGGGGACTGCCCGTCTCCTCCTGAGCTTGTCGTCCCCTCCCGCTGTCACTGACGACATGGGGTCCCCTCCTGCTGTCACTGACGACGTGGGGTCCCCTCCTGCTGCCACTGACGACGTGGGGTCCCCTCCTGCTGCCACTGACGACGTGGGGTCCCCTCCTGCTCTTACACCTTCACTTAAGAGACTTCTTTAGAAATGTGTGTCATTCCTGTAAGATCCCCAAATACTAATAGTAAGCATGTAATAATCTCTTTTATTTTAATGAAGGCAAATCGAAGGGAAAGTGGTTGAAATTTCCAGACTCCAAGAAATATTCACAGAAAAGGTTTTACAACAGGTAAGAAAAATAATAGTTGCTTTGTTTTAGCTTAAAAGAGGAATGCACGGAGACCGTGGGCCCCTCTGAAGCGGCCTGTGGAGCCGTGTGCCCGAGGCTGGTGCTGTCGGCCAGCGTGCATTGCAGGCTTCGCGGCCGGGGCCAGGAGGAGGAGGAGCATGGGCCGTGGCCCCGCAGGCCCTCAGTCAGCAGGTGACCTCTCGGAGCTAGTTCCACCTGGAAAACGGCCTGGCCCTTGCTGGAAGCTCAGCAGCGACCCGGGGAAGGCGTCGGCCGCACCAAGCTATGTTGCACTGTAGTCGCTTCCGTCAGCAGCGACGCAAGGGCCCCGCCTGGGCTCAAGTGTGCAGCCCTCCAGGAACCATGGTTCTCGTGGGGGGTTCCCACCTCCCCGCCTGCAGTTTGGAGCTCCTTGCAGCCTGCAACTGGCGACCTCACAGACCTGCTAAACTTGCCCTTTTGTTGCAGCCTCCACAGACCGTGGAAGGGTTCAAAAGACAAAATCATTTTTCTCCACTGTGTTAAAGTGGGCTAGTGGGCTTGGGACAGTCCACTCACAGAACCTCCCCTAAGCCACCCAGCCAGCCGGGTCACGAGTTGGTTCTGAAGTGTGCAGCGTGGGGCTTCAGGCCCATCCGAGCACCTTGTGAGCTCGTGGAAGGAGCAGCGCAGCTGGCGTGGCCAGGCCTTCCCTGGGAGCCTGACGTCCTCAGTCCAGCCACCCGGCACCCAAAACGGTGCTTGCAACACGTGTGCTCAGGTGCCCGCCTCTCGGCTCACGGCTTAGAGGCACCGCAGCCTGGTGGAGCTTGGAGGCCGGGTGCGATGAGCCGTGAGCCCTGAGCGGCGAGTGGCTCCCACCTGGGCTCGCCATCACCTCCTGTGACCTGGGCGCTCGAGAGCCGTCCCCTCTGCAAACGGGCTGATGCCCTGCCTCGCGGAGCCGGTGGAGAGGGCCTGCCTGGAACTCCTGGCCCAGTGCAGGGAGCCACTGCTCTTAGGGTGGCTGCAGCAGCCCTGGGCCACGTACTGGTTTCCTGGCGCAGCTGGTAGCCGCCGGCAAAGGGGACTCGACCCCAGTGTGGCTTTTTTTTTTCCCCCACTCTTGAATTTATTTAATTTTTAATTTTTTAATTTATTTTTGTAACACGTTTCTCCTTTTCCCCCCATTGACACCCTCCTCCCAGTCGCCCCTGCCCCATCCCCAGCATTGTTGTCTATGTCCATGGTTATGCGTACATGCATATAAGTTCTGTGGTTTATTTCTTCCCTCCCTACTGACCCCCTCTTCTGAGGTCTGTCAGTCTGAACCCTACTTCTATGTCTCTGGGTCTATTTTGTTCATCAGCTTGTTTTGTTCATTATATTTCATAAATAAGTGAGATCATGTGATATTTGTCTTTCTCTGCTTGGCTTGTTTCGCTTAGCATAATACTCTCCAGTCCCTCTAGGTCATCTCAAAGGATAAGAGATCTTTCTTTCTTACAGCTGCATAGTACTCCATTGTGTACATGTACCACTGCTTTTTATCCATTCATCTACTGATGGACACTTGGGCTGTTTCCAGATCTTAGCTATTGTAAATAGTGCTGCTATGAACATAGGGGTACATATATTCTTTCTGATTGGTGTTTCAGGCTTCTTAGGGTATAGTCTTAGAAGTGGGATCACTGGGTGAAATGGAAGTTCAATTTTTAACTTTTTGAGGTAACACCATATTGTTTTCCACAGTGGCTGCACCAGTCTGCATTCCCACCAGCAGTGTACTAGAGTCCCCTTTTCTCCACACCATCGCCAACACTTGTTGTTTGATGATTTGTTGATGGCAGCCATTCTGACAGGTGTGAGGTGATACCTCATTGTTGTTTTAATTTGCATCTCTCTGATGATTAGTGATGTTGAGCATTTTTTCGTATGTCTCTTGGCTATTTGTCCTGTTTGGAGAGGTGTCTATTTAGGTCCTCTGCACATTTTTTTAATTGAGTTCTTTGTCTTCCTTTTGTTGAGTTGTGCGAGTACTCTCTATATTTTGGAAATTAACCCCTTATCTGATGTATTGTTGGTAATTATGGTCTCCCATATAGTGGATTCCCTTTCCATTTTGATGGTTGCTGTTTTTTGTTTGTTTTTTTTTTTGCTGTGCAGAAGCTTTTGAGTTTGATGTAGTCCCATGTGTTCAATTTTTCCTTTGTTTCTCTTGCCTTAGGCATTATATCAGTGAAAATTCTGCTGCATGTGGTATCTGAAATTTTGTTGCCTATGTTTACTTCCAGGATTATATATGGATTCACAAGTCACATTTAAGTCTTTTATCCATTTTGAGTTTATTCTTGTGTATGGTGTAAGTTGGTAGTCTAGCTTCATTTTTTTTGCATGTAGCTGTCCAATTTTCTCAGCACCATTTATCAAAGAGGCTGTCTTGACTCCATTGTATGCTCTTGCCCCCTTTGTCAAATATTAACTGAGCATAATGTCTTGGGTCTATTTCTGGATTCTCTGTTCTGTTCCATTGATCTATCTGCCTGTTCTTGTGCCAGTACCAGGCTGGGGTTTTTTTTTGTTTTTTTTTTTTTCCTTTATTGATTTTAGAAAGAAAGGAAGGGAGAGGGAGAGAGACAGAAACATTGATGAGAGAGAACATCGACTGGCCGCCTCCTGCATGCCTCCCACTGAGGATTTGGCCCACAACCTGGGCATGTGCCCTGACCAGAAATTGAACCAGCAGCCTCTTGGTGCAGGGTTGACACTCAACCACTGAGCCACAGCGGCTGGACCAGGCTGTTTTGATTACAGTGGCTTTGTAGTATAACCTGCTACCCGGTATTATGATCCCTCCCACTGTGTTCTTGTTCAAGACTGCTGTGGCTGTTCGGGTCCCAGTGTGTCTTGTGTGGCAGGAGTGCTGTGTGGTCGTGGTGGCCAGAGAGGTCACAGTCATTGCATTTTTTGCACCGTGTCTTGTACCCCTGCCCTCGGCCCGGCTGCCGAAGAGTGCCGTGCCATTGCGCCAGGAGGTGGACTGCTCGCCGGCAGCGGCCCAGGCCTGCGCCTGCACCACACCCCCGGCGGCTCCAGCCCCGCGCAGGCTCTGCAGCGCGCTGGCTGGTTCCCGCCCTGGCTGCTTGAGTTTCTGGATCTGAGGAAAGCCGGGTCTGTCTGGCTGTTTTCATCGATGTTGCAGGGTGTCTGCGTTGACTTCTCTCGGGCTCCCCTCCCAAACTCGAGGGTCTTGTGTCGTCACAGATCGCCGCCGGGACCTGGGCGAGGCTGCTGCCCTCAGCTGGCCGCACTGCCAGCCAGGTTTCTCCCAAACCCATGCTCTGTCCGTCCCCTCCTCCCCTCGCGCTTCTCTGGCTCACACACTCTCCTCCCCTAGAGCAAGGAGGCCTGCTCCAGGCCCGCCTGGCGCTGCCTGGGTGGTGCTGGTGCTCCGTGGCCAGGCGGTGGCAGGTGCTCCGTGCCCAGGCGGTGGCAGGTGCTCCATGGAAAACCAGCACCATCTTTCTGAAGCTTTCTGAGCATCTAGAGTAAATGTTTTGCAAACATCCTGCATCCCATTTGATTTTTAAGTTTTAGCCTTTTTTTAGACACGTGGCAAGACACAGTGCGTTTGTTTGGAGCTGGCGGTGTGTCTGGAAGCGCGTGCTCCTGGGGTGGCCCTGGCCTGTGGCGCCCGCTGTGCCGGCAGCTCTGGGGTTGATTGGCGGGTGGACGGAGGCGGCAGGTGGGGGTGGAGCGGCACAGGCACCGGGGTCCAATCCTAGTCCTGCCACTAGGTGGCTGTGTGACTTTGGGCAATGTACTAAACTTCCCTGAGCCTTCAGGTCCTCCTTCGCGAAGTGGGAGTGCCCCCTACCTCTCGGTGCTGAGGATCCCAGTTCCTGTGCGAACCTGGGCCTTCGTGAGCGGCAGCTGCGGTGTGCACCAGGTGTGCGCTCATCTGCCCTGTTCTTCCCCAGGAAGCTGAAATTGACAGCATCCACCAGCTAGTCGTAGGGGCCACTGAGAACATCAAGGAGGGCAACGAGGACATCAGAGAGGTGCGTACTCGGGCCCCAGCCGACCGGGCGGGACACTTGAGTTGGACAGTAGCACCAGCCTTGCTGGCAGGGCTGCCCGAGAGCCTTTCGGGCCGAGCCCACGGGGCTGATCTCGCCGCTGTGTGCTGGGTGGTCACATGCCATCCCTGCCAAGCCCAGGGCCGCTGTTGCCAAGAGGCAATGGCTCACCTCCCTCCAAAGGAGCGTGGGTGCTCTCGGCAACAGTCTGACCAGCCCCCTGAACCCAGTGGGTGCCACTGGAGAAACCTGTGGGACCCCCAAGGGCCAGAGTCCTGGCTCTGTGAAGGCCAATCCAGTCAACGGTTGGGCGCCCTTGTATTTGAGTGTGGCCCTGGGGTCTGGGCTGACATGGGACTGTTCTGAGGCCACTGCCATCACAGACCAGGACCCAGCCCGGGCAGCGAGGTCCTCGGAGGCCCCGGGTGCCGGTGTCCTGCAGGACTCCGGGTGATAGCTGTTCCGAGGCCACTGCCATCACAGACCAGGGCCCAGCCCGGGCAGCGAGGCCCTCGGAGGCCCGGGCGCTGGTGTCCTGCTGGACTCCGAGTGATAGCTGGCCAGGGAGGGAGGCGCCCCCTTGTCATGGCTTTAAACCGACTCCTTGGCTTTGCTTAGTAACGAGCTGTCTGTTCAGGGTGAGCAGAGGCTGCAGCGGTCAGAGCTGGGGAGGGCCCCGCCCCCGGGACCCCCAGAACACTGCGCTCTGTCCCCAGGCCATCAAGAACAACGCCGGCTTCCGAGTGTGGGTGCTGTTCTTCCTGGTGATGTGCTCCTTCTCCCTGCTCTTCCTCGACTGGTACGGCAGCTAGCCGGCCGCTCGCCTGTGGCCCAGGTTCACCACGGAGCCCCTGGGGGGAGGGAGGCCGAGACACACCCCACCAAGGGACACCTAGACCTGGTGTTTTAAGCCCATTTAGTAGCGGAAAGAAAACAACACAAATCGGAAGTGGTCTGTGTGGCGGTCACAAGGCAAGGTGGACGAAATGGGGGTGTCGTTGTGTCTACCTGGAGACTGCTGTGGAGGTCGTCCCCGGAGGGCACAGCTGTCTCCACGCCCCCGCCGAGGCCCAGCGTCCTGCCTCGGTCCTGCTTCTGTTCAGGGAAGGCCCAGGAGAACTGGGCCTGCTGCTCGGGCCTGCGCTGCTGACCCTGAGGAGACGGACGGGAATGCCTACGTGTGATGGCACGTGGGACCCCGGGGCAGCCACAGGGACCCCGTGTTCTTATTTGCAGAGAAATGTCAGGTTCATGTGAACGCACTGACAGTCAATAAAGGACGTGTCTGCAGAAAACATGGTGTGCCTCGGCCCGGGAACATGCGTACAGACAGGTGGGCAGGAGGCCTTTGCACACGTACTCCTGCGTGCACACGTACTCCTGCGTGCACACACCGCTGCCCTCACCCGCGGCGAGAAAACCGTGTGCCTCAGAAGCGCGCTCCGAGGGGCTGGCCGTGATCACCATGCCGTTCACCACAGGTCTTGCACTACGGCCTTTATTTCCGATCTACTGACACAGGGGAGCCACACGCCCACCAGAAACCACACCCAGTAACACGGGGAACGAGAGTGTCTGTTCCATTCATCTCCTACACACTTCTTTCTCTAGCTGGCAGTTTTGTAAACATAAACTTTAATGTCGAGATCCAGGTTGAAACAATCTGCTCACAAAGACCGAGCTGAAATGTCGGAATTGGCCTGGCGAGGGCCACAGCTGCCCCGCCAGCTTCCTGCCGCGTCTTCCAGAGCTGCGCCTGCGTCAGGCTGAAGGCGCCTTGCTCGCCAGCACCGCGTCCCCTGCCCGCCCAGCCAACATTTAGACACCGACGTGCCGATAGGGCCGTTGGGGCAAATGTATTCACCATAGAGGTCAACAGAAGGGCCGGTGGGGTTGTGACGGAGCAGACAGACCACCAGCAGCCGGGCCCAGGGCCTCACCGCACGTGCTCCAACTCAGTCACATGCACTCGAGAGCAGCCTGACCAGGACGGGGCACCCGTCCGTCCTCCACCACGCGCACCAGGTGCGTCTGGCAATGGTGCTGGTGCCATCTGGGGGGGGGGGGGCGTACAGCTTGCTCTGAGCAAAGCAGGGGCGCGCTCTACATGTGGGGCACTGGGCCTGCAAACAGCACGGTGGTTGGGAGGATCAATTCCGCAGATGCGATTTGTCTGGAGTCCAAACCCTTGTCATCCAGGGTGGATTTATTTCTGACAGCGTCCAGAAAGTCCCGGCAAAGCGGCTAAACCACGGCTCCTTCACGTGGCCGTGTCAGAGCGCTAAGCGATGCTGGGGGCACTTGACCTTGTGCCCAGCCGGGTCTGCAGCAGTTTTATTTGCAAAGCAGCATTAGCAAACAGAAGCGGTTGCACCATAATGAGTAACCTCTAAATTACCGGTAATTATAGTTAATGAAATGTCCCTCCGAGTCCCTTCGTTACCTTCAGGTGACACTCCGTAAGGAACCTGCCCACGTTGCTAAGCTGACTTCTCAGCGGCCTCCGTGTCCTGCTCCGACAGCTGCTCCTCCGACAGCACGGACACCCAGGGCGACACGGAGCGTGCGGTGCTCTGCTTGGCCAGGTCATAGTGGTTCACGGCCGCGTAGAACTTGTCCGGGGAGTGCGGGCCCTGCTCTGCGTAGTAGGCCGCCAAGCCGTTGGGGACACACTGGGCATTCTGGAAGACAAGGGGCCATGGGGGGGGGGGAGTGACTCCAGGGCGCTCCTGCCTGGGCGTGTGGCCCTAAGTCCCCACAGGACAGCTGTCAACCTCGCATGGCAGGGGTGGGCACCCAGGGTGCCTTCCTCCTCCACGGGAGCCCTGTGCCAGGTGTCACCTACTGTAAATCTGGAACAGCAGCTGTGGACACGTCCACCAGAGTACATTCCAACAAGGGAGGAAGAAGGCAGGCTTCCTGTGGCGGGTCCCTAGCAGGCCTTACCAGATGATGGGGGGCAGGGGGCAAAGGGGGCCGCTGGGGGCGGAAGGCTGCTGGCTGGAGCAAACGTGGGGACTGTGACAAAGCACTGGGGACAGGCGGGGGTCCAAGGGTCAGGCCACACCGGCAGGGCCTGCTGGGAGTGTGACCTTGCATTCCGGAGCAAGGCAGGAAGTCACTGAGGACCTCAAGGGGGCACACTGGGGGGTGTGGGGCTGTCCCCTATAAAGGAAGAGGCTCTGTCCCATCCCTACAGGCCAGAGGTCAGGGCAGGGGGGTGGGGAGGTTTCAGAAGGCAGAAAGCCGAGGGTTACAGGTGGAATTGTCTGGGCATTCTGTGGGAGGCCAGTCCACAGCTCTCGTGAACTTGTCAAGTCTGGGGCCCAAGGCTGCTGCTCCTTGACCATCCATGCGTGACGGTGTCCACCCTGGTCCAGTGCCTGGCCCACAGGCGACAGTTCATTGCTTCTGGGTCTGGGGAGATGGTGGGCAGGTGAAGGAGGGGTCATGGTTTGTGGGGAGGGGGCATAGGGCACCGGCATCCTGCAGAGTTTTAGAAGGAGACACCCCCCCCCCAGCATTCCCAATGCTGCTGCCCCCCGTCGGAGTCTCCTGCCACCTGGTCAGTGCAGACGGGATGCCCCCCTGCCAGCCGGCCCATGGAGAGGGCTCCTCCCCACCGGCTCACTGAGCCCGAAGGGCCAGGATCGAAGTAGCTGCCAGCCCTCCGAGAGCTGCTTCCAGAAGGAACTGGCAGAGGCAGGCACTGCCCCTCACCTGCAGTGCGGGAGCTGGGGGAGCTCAGCTCGGGGCGCCCGGGTTTTCTGGAGGTCATGCTCTCTCTGAGCCTCAGTCCCCGTCTTTATCGTGGGGCGCACGAGTTGCACCTTCCAGACTGCTGTGAGGACTGCAGGAGGCCTACAGGGGCTCCGGTGAGAAGCCAGGGCGGGCCCAAGGCCACACGGCGGGCAGAACAGATGGACAGCACAGGGCGCACCAGGGGGAAGCCCTTTCCCATCAGGGCACCGGGAAGTGCGGGCACTGCCCCAGCCAAGGGCCCTTTGCCAGCCCAGCGAAGGCTCTGACGCCCAGGTGGGGGGGGGCTGTGCCGGCTGCACTTCCCCAGGTCCCTGCAGGGCTCCCTCGGAGAAGGTCAGGGAGCCGCACGGAGGAGGAAGAGGGTCAGTGCCGGACCGCGGACCCCAGCCTCCCCTACTAACTCAGCCAGGACCTGCGTCCCTCACGTGAGCCACACCAGACCAAGCTGGTCCGTGGAAGCTGGTCCGTGCACGTGCTCAGTGTCAGGCACCCTGGAGCAGCCCCTCCTCCCTGGTCTGAACCGTTCAGGACCCAGCGGTGCCGACACCCCGAGGGTGGGAGCCCGCACAGCAAGCGCCGGCCCCCCCAGCCTCGCCTCACCCCTCACCCAGCACCCGGCCTGGTGGGATGAGCACCACCAGCAAAGGGGTGTGCGCGAGTGTGGCCACGTGAGGCAGGAGGAGGGGCAGGCCGTGGGGAGCACTCTGTGCCAGCCTGCTCCCAGGTCCCTGTGGCCGTGGGCCGCCCTCCCCACCCAGAGGCTGATGGTCCCTCCTCCTCTGTGCCCCATACTCAGGTCCTCCCCAGGAGTGTCCTTCCACGGGAACCTTTCCCATGGCCCCTCGCTGGCCTTGGCTGCAGCCGCTGAGTGCTTGTCCCTCGGCTGCCGTGAGGTCAAGGGACACGGGTGTGGGGGAGGGGCTTACCTTGAGGATGAAGCCATCAGGGCAGAGGCGTTCGTACTTGTACACCTTGTAGACGACCAGGAAGACGACACAGGTGAGGAAGGCCAGGGCGATGAAGACCAGCACAGAGACCTGCGGGCAGAGGGGCGTCAGGGCGGCGGGGAACCCCGTGCTGGGGCGGGCGCGCACACGCGCACACACACATGCACACCAGCGTGTGCAGAGACTGCATCCAGAAGGAAGCACCCAGGAGGCCTCGGAATGAGGGAGCAGAATCCCTTTCCACCGGACATTTTGTACCACTTCGTTTTCGCCGTATTCACATGTCACCTTTCTTCTATAAATTACTACCTTGAGCATTCCAGGCCCTCTGAGAGCTCTGGGTACAAATATGATCAGGCCTCATGGACACTCAGACACGTGATTGATGGTTGCCCCTCCGACTGCCGCCAGTCACCAAGGTGACGCGTCTCCTGAGCCCTGGATGCTGGCTGTGCCCTTGAGCTGGGGCCAGCTGAGCAGGGAAGGCAGACCTGGGCCCAGACCTCACCCTCGCCAGCATCCTCGTGCTCCGTGCGTCTGTCCCACCACGGCCGCCTCCGTGAGCATGAGGACCTGCTGCAGGTGGCGCACCCAGCCCGGCACAGTATGCGCTCAGCTGACCTTCGCAGATAAATGCATGGAGGCGGAGGGGCCTGCCCCGCTGGAGGGCAGGGGCATGGGGACACAACAACACTGGGTCTGGCCTGGACGGTGCTCACTGTCCAGCTGTCACCCTCCAAGGGCCAGACGAGCTCGTCTGGACAGACTGCACTGCATGTGGACCCCAAACCCCCTGCCTGGAGCCAGAAGGCTGACGGGATGGAGCCACAGCTCATCAGGGTCGAAAGTGCCAACGGGGAAGGTGCCATCCGGTTCCAGTGGCAGGGACACGGCCACCTGGTCCCAGGAGGTCAAGTTGTTCGTAAAGGGGAGGGGGCGCAGGGCAGGTCCAGGCCTTTCCAACAAGAGCAGGGACCCCGCTGGCTCAGTGCTCGGGAGGCGGTAGAGAGGTCACGTCACAACACAGCCCTGCCGCCAGGCTCTGTCACTCAGCTCCTCGGGCCTGGGCTCCTGCCTGTCCGTGCCTCCTCTGTAACCTTTCCTGCTTCATTTGGGGTGTTAGTAAACGTTACGAGAGGTCCGTGGCACACAACAGGCTAAGCCCTGTTAGCATATGATCGCAACAAAACCAGCAAGTTGAAAACAGCACAGTAGAAGGATCCTGGGCCGGGACGGCTCAGCAGCTACAGATCAGCCGCCGTGACGTGGCACATTAACGAAGGGTCAACGCCGAATGACCTCCTCAGTGGGTGCAGAAAAATTCTGACAAAATCCCACCAACATCCATCTGTGACCTAAACTCTCAACAAAGTGGGTACAGAGGGAACATCTAACATAACAGAGATCACCCCAGCATCCCACAGCTAAGGTCACTCTCAACAGTGAGAAGCAGGGCGCTTCCCCTCAAGGGCCGGGCTGGGACAAGGACGCCCACTCTCACCGCTTACTCAAGTACCCAAGTCCCCTCTGGGCAAGGAAGACACAGCACTCAGGCTGCAAAGGAAGAAACTGTAACTACCTGAAGGGGACACGATCCTGTACAAGGAAAACCCTAAAACTCCACCTAAAACTCTTAGAATCAATCAGCAGTGCAGGGAAGTTGCAGGATACAACTGGGTGAATAAAAGGTCAACCGTACAAACTCCCAGTCACAAGGGGTCCCTGCTTCTCCAACGTTAGGCCACTTCGCTCTCAGGAAAGACCCTCATTGGGACCTGTCCTCACTGCGAGAGATCGGAAGAGAACTCACTCTCGTGACCAAAGGCGAACAGCAGAAGCAACGCTGCCGTCCGGTGTGCAGGGAGCCATGACGGGCGGCGGTGCCCCAGCAGCTTGCGTCCGCCGAGCTCCTTCCCCGGGACCCGGCCCAGCAGCACCCAGCACCCAGCACCCAGCCGGCAGGGCTGAGTGGAGTCTGAGCATCAGCGTTCTCCCGACTTCCTCCGCACCGGTTAGCAAGAAGTGCCCGAGCTGTCAGAAAAGCCTCCGAGCGCGTACCCGTACCGGTGTGAGCGCGTACCGGTGTGAGCGCGTACCCGTACCGGTGTGAGCGCGTACCCGTGTGAGCGCGTACCGGTGTGAGCGCGTACCGGTGTGAGCGCGTACCGGTGTGAGCGCGTACCCGTGTGAGCGCGTACCGGTGTGAGCGCGTACCCGTGTGAGCGCGTACCGGTGTGAGCGCGTACCCGTGTGAGCGCGTACCCGTGTGAGCGCGTACCGTGTGAGCGCGTACCGTGTGAGCGCGTACCCGTGTGAGCGCGTACCGGTGTGAGCGCGTACCCGTGTGAGCGCGTACCGGTGTGAGCGCGTACCCGTGTGAGCGCGTACCCGTGTGAGCGCGTACCGGTGTGAGCGCGTACCCGTGTGAGCGCGTACCCGTGTGAGCGCGTACCGGTGTGAGCGCGTACCGGTGTGAGCGCGTACCCGTGTGAGCGCGTACCCGTGTGAGCGCGTACCCGTGTGAGCGCGTACCGGTGTGAGCGCGTACCCGTGTGAGCGCGTACCCGTGTGAGCGCGTACCGGTGTGAGCGCGTACCGGTGTTATGTTCCGCATAAAACTGAATGAGCGGTTAGACCACAAAGCCGAGACAGCGCCCGCGGCTGGGGCCCGGGAGTGCTCCGAATGTTCCCATATGAAGGGATGGGACGGCTTCTTGGCTTTCGGCCGTGTCCCAGCTTACAGCAGGTTCATAGGAACTGTCCTCTGGATGGAGGGGCCCAGTGTACGTCCTGGGTGTGATGGACAGCGGGGCGCTACGGTAACAGTACTGTGTGTATTTGGAAGTCGCTAAGACAGATCTTAAAATTCCTCGTCACGAGAAACCTCTACGTCACCTATGTGAGGTAGAGGTTAACTAGACTTGCCGTGGTGGTCACTGCACAACACACACAGACAGTGAATCGTTATGTTATACACTGAAGCTAACACATGTTAATTGTATCTCAATCTAAAAAATAATAATAATAATAGCCCGGCTGGTGTGGCTCAGTGGTTAAGCGTAGACCCGTGCACCAAGAGGTCGCCTGTTCGATTCCCAGTCAGGGCACATGCCCAGGTTGTGGGCCCGATCCCCAGTGGGGGGCGTGCAGGAGGCGGCCAGTCGATGTTCTCTCTCATCGATGTTTCTGTCTCTCCCTTTCTCTCTAAAATCAATCAATAAAAATAAATAAATAATAAATAATGATCTGATCTCCAGTCCTGGAAAGGGGGCATCCTTAAAACCTGTCCCTTGCCTTGGGAAGCCTCCGCGGTTTGGCTGGGAGCACTCCATCTGCTTGGGTTAAAAATAACCCGGCTCCCCGCAGGGCTGTGGGAACCACCTTCTCAGGCCTCTCCTCCTGGACCGTGGCCTGGGCCTTCCACCCAGGATTCCGGCCTGGTGGCCAAGGAGCTCACAGACGGAAACGAGACCACGACAGCCCTTGGAGTAGTCGAGGGAGACGGGCGAGGAAAGGTCCCGGGGTCAGCAGGAGGCCGCGGCCCTTCCCTGCAGCCTGTGCCTTGGCGTCCGCGTGCCCTCTACAACCAGCGACCTGCAGGGGGCGTGCACTTCACCACGTGGCGTGGTGTCCCCACCGTGGTTATCGGGGCCCGAGGAGAGCACAGGCCTTTCCAGAAGGATCCCCAACGGGCTCAGAATTGGTTCCCGGCTCTGCCCGCTGCCAGCTGAGCGACCACACAGGCCGCCCGTGTCTCACCCCGAGGGGGGCAGTGCCAGTCACTCCCCTGCGCACCCATCAGGACGGCAGGATCAAGAGCCTGCTGTCAGCCTCAGGTGCTGGGACCGCTGAAGGAGGTGGGCTCGACGGTGTCCCGACAGATGCAGAAGCCCTGTCCCGGTCCCCGTGCCCGTATTTGGAAATAGGGTCTTTGCAGCGGAGATGGAGGCCAGGGGTGGCCCCAGCCTACGGCTCTGTTCACACTGCCCCACGGGGCATGTGTCCCACACGAGGTAGGTCCTCTTGCCCACGGCTCTCGGCCTGGGCGCTGTCCCCGTCTCAGGGCAGCCACTGCTCGGGCGGGTTCGCAGGGCGCCTTCCTCCGGTGTTACTAAGAAATGAGCACCTGTGGGAAGGAGGTGGGACGGGCCCCGGGCGCCCAAGAGCCTGGGTGGCTGGACGGACCGCGTCTGACCCCAGCCTGACCCCCTGGCTGGGAGAAGCAGGCCTGTCTCAGGGCCCACGTCTGTCGTGGACACAGGTCCGATGCTTTTAGTGGCCCAAGAAAATGGTTTTCAATTTTGCTTCAACACCAGAAAGAAACCTACTACAACAATGACTCCGTCCTGGCTTACCTTCGTCTTCAGGTCCAGGCAGCCGTCACATGCGTGTGGCTTTTAGGCGGAAGGGGCCCACAGAGGCGCACATGTCGGCCCGGCCCTGCACCGCCCACCGACAGACCCCGGTGCTGGTGGACATCGCGGGAGCGCCGGCGGCCACCTCGGAGTGTCCAGGCCCCGCCGCGTCAGCCCTGGCCTCCGCTGAGGGGGCACAGGGCAGGCACTGCGGGAGGAAGGCAGGACGGCACAGAGGACCCGCCCCTGTGGGGGGGAGGCTTCCGGGGGGGCCCCTGGTCTCGGAGGAGGAGGAGGAGCTCATCGGGAGCAGGGAGAGGGCGTCCCCAGAGGCAGAAAGGGCTGTGCCAAAGCCCTCCGGCCTCCGAGGACACGGTGTCCCGGAGCATCCCGTGTCCTGCAGGAGGGCGTGGCCAGGGGACGGAGGCCCTGCGCCCCTCACCAGCAGGCAGGAGCCCAGACAGCCCCAGGCATCGCAGGACCTGGAGGCAGTGGCCCCCGGAACCAGTCAGCATTGCTCACGGCGCAGGAGGGTGCCAGCGGCAGAGGGACAGGAGTTTGCCGTCGATTATGGCGCTGGGGCGGAGTCTCCATGATCCCTGAACCTCAGGCAGGAGACCACGGGATGAGGTCACAGCTGCGCCACAGGGGTGGGCACTCGCTCCCGTGTCCTCTGGCTGTAGCCCTGGGCGGCCTGGACGCCCTGCTGTGGGCAGTGGGCTTCCGGGGACAATG